GGGTCACGGGCCGCCCTGCTCTATCGCTCCCATCTCCGGGCCCCGGGCTCGTGACGCGTCCCGTTCTGCTCGGCTGGGGGGGGGGGGGGGGGGGTTTCCTCTGTTATTTTTAATGAGTGCCACTAACTTGCTTGGAAAGTAAGACTGAAATAACTGCTTTATTTTGCCAAAAGGTCTCTACTGTTGGCAAAGTGGGAGAGGAGAGCAGAGATACAGAAAGCTGATAGTGAGGATTAAGCACTACTTTGCACTTATATTTGAAATCAGTGGTCAGCTTCATCTGTTCCATATGAGAAATTTGAAAAAGATTTTCTATGCAAGCATCTTTCTAGTTACCGTTCTGTGCTAGAACACTGTGTTGTGGCTGGTTTGTGCTAGGTCTGTGGATTAAAATCATAGCTTACGAGATCTTTGTAAATTTAACAGGGTTTAGTTTGTTTTATTACAGCATGGTGTTTCAGAGATCAAAGGTGTGTGTACTGAAAAGCACTCCTGATCTTCTGTGCACAACAAGTATATCTCATAGGTTTTAGTAAATGGCAAATTAAGCACCATGTATATAGAATAAAACTTAAATACAAGAACCCTCTTTCACTGAAAGAAAACCACTTCTGCTGACTTCAGGGGAGATAGAAGGGTGTAAATGAAGAATCTGTGGGATCAGAGTTATTCCCACTATGTCAAATAGCACTAAAAAACGTTGTTTAGTACTTAGTCTTTACCTAGCTTTTGTTGTGCAGATGTGAGAAAGAGAACAGAGCACTGTCAGCTTTCTGTACCATGTTTTTTCTGAGCAGGCAGAGCTGGACATACCATAAGGCCTGGACCAAAAGGAGAGAGCTTTTCTCCATGTGGCCTCAAGGCTGTTCTGAAATCTAAGGAAGTAATAGCCAAATGTAAAGCCTTTACCTCTCTGTGTGTATAGCCTGATAGAAACACATATGCAGAGTAGGGCATTTGGTTAGAACCCTAGTTGGTGAATTAGTGCATTTTGCAGGGGAACTTGCTGAAGATGATGACTTTTCAAAAAGAAAACCCATGTTGCACAGCTTTTACGTTGACAGTGTTGAAACAGATTTCCAGTGCAATCTTTCATCCTTTTTAATCTTAAGAATCTGTTTGTTGTTAGAATATATTTTTGGTAGGCCTCAATTCATACAAGCCTGTGCCTAGTTACATATGTGTGTCTAATGTGTATCTTCTGACTTCAGTGCAGTGTGAACACTGCTCAGATGTTTAAACACTTAACTAAGTCAGGGCCAAATTTCAAGCTCTTTGTGAAGAAGAGAGGTGGATGTTCCTGAATTCTAATGTTTCTGTACATGAAAAACAGGTGTCTTCATCTTGTCAATTTCAAGTTATTTTAAAGTAATATAGAGCGAACTATATTGAAGCACATATTTACAAATAACTTCTTATGTTTTTACAGATAAGAAAATCAATGCAGACTCTAATGCTGGATGTGTGTTCTATGTTTGAACTGGAACTGCTCTTGAAAAGCTGGTAGTTCCTAACTTTTCAGTGTTGGTGCGTTTTTGTAAACAGTTTACGCTGGAATATTTTTTTATGAACTCCAGCAGACTAAACATTGTTTTGATAAAGTATGTATAGTATCTGTATTGAAATGTAAATATTTTAAAACTACATCTGACCGAGGCTTATTTTCAATACCAATTAAAACATTGCTTTCCAGTCATTTTGCAATATAGCGTTAAAATCCCTCAGATTGTTGGTGCTTTAAGTCAGGTCTTTTTCATTATGTACACATGGAAATTTTTTGTATCATTTGTATTGGACTAACCTATTCCACAGAACAAACTTCCTTTTGTCTGTTTTGTCAATAATAATGAAATTACAGTTCTCATTTTGTATTCAAAAGGAATTATATTTTTTTAGATGGGTACACTAGAGGGTTTTTTCACTTCATATACTTTGATGCCAAACCAAACAGTACTATTTGCATTTTTGATTGTGAAAATATCTTCCATTTTAAAATTCTGGCCTTTCACTTGTAAAAAATATGGAATAGTTAACATAAGAACAAACATGGTTAAATTAATTTTATTTTTTTTAAAATCCTTCAGGTTACAGTTTGAATTTATTTTGTTTCCGTAGAAGCTACTAAATAGTTTTGAATTTGCTTTGTAAGAGTTTGTCGCTGTCAAAACTAGAACATTCCTCATGGAAGCTGTACTGGGGGAGCAGGGAGGTGTTGCTGCTCAGCATTACAAACTTTAGGGGGGTTAAGAGTACTAGTTATGCTTGTCTTCTGTAAGCAAGTTTACTGTTTTATCAAACATCTGCAAAGCCATGTATGTCACTGCTATGATCTGTCGAAATTGTTAAGCTGTGTGTTTGTTTTGGTTTTTTTTTTCATGGGTTTAGTGTAGAATTTTTTTAACATGAAAGCATTTTGTAAGTTAAATTGTATGGTAGCTATGAAACTCTTAAAGCAGATTGTCATGCCTCTTTTCCTTTTGTGAACTCTGCCAAACTGCTTAGGAACTTCTGTTTTGTTAATTTTTTATTCATATTATTAGATAATGTCAGAATAATTCAAGTTTAGCAGTCTCAGTGGTTTTAGAGAAATAATTATAATGAATGTTCTCTTAGATTTTGATGAAGCATTGAGAAATAAAAAGGTTGCAAGGAAATAACCAACTGCTAAATTGTTTTAGAGCAAGTTTGTGCCACTACATACTACATCATAAATTCAGTTAGAACATCATGTTTTGGGCTTGAATGTTTTCATTCTTCTTGTTCCTATTCTGTAAGGTTAAAGTAACTGAGGTTGCTTTCTTGGTATATTGCAATTACCTAGTCAGACTTTAGAGTGTGCGTAGAAACGAAGGTTATGGATGCTTTGCAGAAAAATACTGGTTTGCCTTTAATATTTATAATTAATTTAGTTAAGCCTTCCAAAACTCAAATTACATGAATAAATATCATATTTTTTTCTCGAAAAGTATCACCTTCTTGTCGTCTTTGATACACACTAGAACGTGCTTTCTTGATGAATTTGAAGCACATCTACGGGACCTACTGATGATTTTTACCTCTGTATTTGCACATGGTATGAATTCAAAGGAACTGCTTGCGTAATGGTGCTCCTACGTAAGTGAAGACTGATCTGGAGTACAAGTGTCTGCTACCGAAGCTAAAGAATAAGTGTTTGATAAGCAATAGAATGTACATAATTAAAACTGCCTTTATAATCTGCTCCCATACCTGTATGAACCAGCTGACACCCACTGACTTCAGTGGCTGCTGAGCACAGCTTTTATTGTGTAGACACACATGCACACTGGATGAGACTGTTAATCAGTGAACACTCATCAAAGCATTTTATGGGTATTTTTAAAAGCAAGAGTATTTTTTATGACTAGTATGTTTTATTAGATTTTGCTACTAATGGAGCTTCAGTGACATTAAGGTAAGCAAGACTGAGTTTGGTTTTCATGTTGCGTTTGAAGGTACAGTGCAAGATAAGCACATTGTTCATTGTCGAGATATCAGGAGTCGGTCACTCTTTACACTTTTCTGTGAAATAATATGACATATAGTTTACCTGTATCCTCAAAAACAAACTGAAAGAATAAAACAAATGGGGTATACCTGTGTTCTCAGTTGGAGATAAGTTTTTTTAGTGGAGCATTTGGAATACTTCATTATATTATGAAGTAAAAGGCTGAAAGGCTAATCTGATTTTTGACACATGTAAATAGTTTTTCTGTTTACATCAATGCAAACAAACGGGTGATGTTATGGCAGAAAACATCTTTTGTGTGACTTGAATGGATATGTAAGGTAGCATTGTTCTCTGTGGATTCCTGACTTATCCTTTCCGTCAAGGAGTGTGATGGGAACGTATTTGTAGAAGTCAATAATCTCTTTCACGGAATTAAATTTCTGGAGAAAAACAAAAAATTGTAATCAGTGATTGAAAAGGAAATTGCTAGATCATTTTATCTAGAACATTAGAAGTCTTGCAAATGACAGGATTAGAAATTGGTGATATTTTGCACAGAGTTACGATTAGATTAGGTGGACCAATCATAAAAAGAAAACCACCAGATTTTAATACTTTATTTCTTTGTGCCCCTTATATAAGAGAAAGTAGCTGTCTGCTTAAAGTAAAAGGGGAGCATTTCTAATCCCTGAGAATGCAGTGTCACCTGTGGAAAGTTGTGATGGAAGATGTCAGGATAGATTTTTAAAAGATGAAGGAACTGTAATCATTGCTAACTTTGCCCTGTCAAAAGTTACACTTAATTAGCAGTACAGGATACTTTACATTGCAAGTTTCCTTGCACCTTCTTAAACCTACCTTTTCCCATTTAGTTTACTGAGAAAGTTGCTGTAAACCCCTTTAACATATGGAACAAGAATAATTAAGCAGGGTTTTAGTCTTATTCTCTGGTGTCAAACAATGACTGTCTCCAAGCCTGCTCCTAAAATGATAAAGGTGTGGTTTGATATTCCTGAACTGATCAAACACCAATGGAAAGCTATCCAAGGAATTTACCCTCATCTGTCCTGGTAGGAGACTCTTAATCCTGCAATTTCAATTGTTAGCAGTCCTTCAGTTTAAATAGCTCTCTTACCTGTGTGTAACTTCTAAGCTCTCATCACATTGCTAAGCTGCCATCACACCACTTTCTCCTTTTGAGCTA